ATCCATCGAACACGAACGATACGAGAGTATCATAAGTTGAAACTGCCATATTAATTCTCGCGAGATTGTCCAATCGTGCGGAACATCGCATAGGGAATTGTTCACGAGACTTGCCAGTTACGCGCGCGAGAGAAGAGGGATTTTGTTGCGATCGTACAGTGTATGCAGGTACTGGCAGCTACGTAGGCGACAAGGAAAGGGGATAGAACTAGGAAACACGCGAATTTATTTTTCCGCTCTGGGGACGACGCTCCAGGACTTGTCCGCACACTCCGCGCCAGAAGGGCGAGCGATTGCGGAATCCTGGCGCGATGTGGCCCGCACCACGTCGTGTTTCACGCTAATCTAAGGTTTCGTCTCTACCTCCTGACAACCCCCGTCGACCGGCAGGTTCGCACCACACGAGCTCGTTCATGCGTGTATATCAAGTGCATGTCCATTAACGTATAATCCTGCGAATCTTGGTGCCCGTCAAAAGTTTGTGATGGCGTTGTTAAAGGTTAGTGAACGTCGAATAAATAAATTCCTGTGAAGAAGAGGCATAATACCGATCTCGAGGACTTCATCCATGCAATGATCGACATTATCTTGTTACGGATTGTCGTGATAACCGGGGGCGCGTCCCCTGTGCGAAACTGATATCATGATCTGAAAGATTTCTTTTTTGTTTATCACAATGACGATTCAGCTTAGGTTGTATTCAGATTCCCACCCATGTGTTATCCAGGTACTATTTTATTCTTGTTGATGTTTACTGAATATGATATTAAACAAGAATAATATGATATTTAGAGAACACTCGAGTGGGAATCTGAACACATTTTACGTTTCAACGATTAATTGGATTAATTGAATTCATGCTGAATATCAAACATTATTTCCATAACTTTGTTTTCTGCTCCTTTTTCATATCTTAATCACTTATCTGATGTATGATATTAATATTTAGGATAGGACACAATTTACATTCGAGGACAAATGGCCATACATGCGTCCAATTATATTAAAACTGCTCAAGCAAGAGCCAGTGACGCAAGGCGAATGGCAGGATTTGTTTTATTCCGTTCACGTATGCCTCTGGGATGACAAAGGGCCTCCCAAGTTACGTGATGCTTTGCAAGAGGATATAATGGACTTTATAAAACAAGCTCAACTGGTAAGAGAAAAGGAGTTTATAAATTAAAATCAAGACTGTATCTTCAATATCTTTTTTATATGTATTTATGTGTGTGTATATATACACACACACACACACACACACACACACACACACACATATATATATACATATACATATATATATATATATATATATGTTTTTTCCCTTTAGATTAGAGATTACACATTTTTTTTTATATAATAGCACTTAACTAACTTACACACTAACTTACTCTAACTTAACCTAACCTAATCTACAACTATTCCGCGCTCTCTCCCTACTCCGCTATCCTCTCTGACTTCCGTTTCCGTTTACATTTTTTTTTCTTTTTTTTCTCACTCTGAATAATATCTTTTTTATATTTTGAAATTTGACTGAAATAAAAAATATTATACAAGGTTGTAAATTTTTACAGAGAGTTTTAGCGCATCAAGAAGAACAAGCATTATTGAAAGCGTACATCGCCGAATGGAGAAAATTTTTTACCCAATGTAATTATTTACCAACACCATTTAGGCAACTAGAAACGTATCTCGCGGGAAAAACTAGTTCTTCTAGCACGCAGAAGAAAACCCAGCCCGACGACATTGTTAGAAAGGTAAAAGACTCAAATACATTTAGTATGATATATACATGATATAATTAATATGTTGTAATATTTTATAATAATTGAAATATTGTATAATCTTACTCCTCTTTTATACAGCTAATGTTGGATAGTTGGAACCAAAGTATATTCAATGAAATAAAACAAAAACTCCAAGATGCGGCTATGAGATTAGTACGAGCTGAAAGAAATGGCGAAGCGTTTGATTCTCAACTCGTTATTGGTGTCAGAGAATCTTATGGTAATTAATGAAACATCCATAAATTTATATATAGTAATTTTTTTATTAATAATGGTATAATGTTCTAGTGAATTTGTGTTCAAATCCAACGGATAAACTTCAGATATATAGAGAAAATTTTGAAGCTGCGTATATACAAGCCACTGAAGCATTTTACTGGATAAAAGCTCCAGAATATCTGTCTATGCACGGTGTTGAAAATTATATGCGTTACGCCGATTTGAAATTAAGGGAAGAAGAGGCACGCGCTCAGAAATATTTGGAACCAAATTCCGCGAGTATGCAACGACTAACGGATTGTTGCGTGAAAGTGTTAGTTGCAACCTTTAAACCAGCGATACTCGCTGAATGTCCACGGATGATTCAACATAATCAAACTGATAGTAAGTAATAAAAATTCACAATGTAATTTTTTTATGTTTTATAGCGTTTTCTTTTGGGATACACTGGATGCAGCCTCGCACCGCACCAGTACGTGTAAACGCTACACTCAGCTACACTAGAATGGTATACATCATGGTATTGTTGTGCTGTTCTTGCTTGATTTCTTATTTTTAAATTTTAAATGTCACACTGGCTCTTTGAGACGGTGTAGCAAAATCCTTTGCACTTTGTGAATAAAATTTGCATTACACCGTAGCCATGGAAACACAGTATACCAAATGAGTTCGCTTACCACCAGCCATGGAAACACGCTACATTGTCCGAGTGTTGCACTAGTGGGTGATGCAGCCAAGAGAAAACGCTAGTTTATGATTAATTTTACAATGCTGCTTCTATAATCGGTATTTATTAATATGAATAATTGTAGAACTTCGTCTCATGCTGAAATTAATGGATAGAGTACCCGACGGCGTCAATCCTATGTTAAGAAATCTGGAAGAACATATCGCGAGCGCAGGTCTAGCGGATATGATGGCAGCTGTAGATGTTATCACTCAAGATTCAGAAAAATACGTGGAAAGACTGTTAGATCTTTTCCATAGATTTTCCAAACTCGTTAAAGAGGCATTCGATGATGATCCACGGTTTCTTACAGCACGAGATAAAGCTTATAAGCTCGTTGTGAATGACGCCACGGTATTTAAGTTAGATTTGTCTACTCGGCAGGGCTCTGGAATCTGTTGCGCATCCATTTTAAATAATAGACCTATTACTAATAATAATGGACTAGCCGAATCAAAGTGTCCAGAACTCTTAGCAAATTTCTGTGATATGCTTCTTAGAAAAACACCACTCAGTAAGAAACTAACTACTGATGAAATCGAAAATAAATTGAAAGATGTGGTCAGTATACATAATGAGATGACTATATCCGTGGAAGTTAGAAATCAAATCTTTTCTGAGAAGTTTATTCTGTCTTGCATTTTTTTTATTTTAGTTGTTGGTGCTAAAATATGTTCAAAATAAAGACGTATT